GGACATGTGGGAGTCCAGTGCCCTTAGCTACCATGTCACCTGCTGGTCCTGATTCCATTAAATTAATACCGCTGACCAATATCTTACTCTTCCCTAATCACCACTATATTTCAGATCTCCCTTTATTTATTTATTTTTTTTTTTAGAGGTTTTTGCCTTAGGGTACATGTGCTTGACAGGGAGAGAGAGAGACAGAGATATTTAGAAAGTTAGACATCACCCCCCAGGGGGGATGGCCATGTTGCAATCCCTTCTCCTCCATTCTCCTCCTGGGAAGTTTGGGATGGATGCACACACACTCAGTGTGATTTTCAAGCCACCAGACTTGGGACTCAAACCGTGGTTGACCACGTGGAAGTCCAGTGACAAAACCACTATGCCATCTGCTGGCCACCAGATCTCCCATCATTTATTTATTTATTTGAGATTTTTGCTATAGGGCACGTGCGCTTGCCAAAGAGACAGGGAGATAGAAAGTGAGAAATCACCCCCCAGGGGGATGGCCATACTACAATCCCTTCTCCTCCATTCTCCCTTCTGGATCTTGGGCACGCACACACATACACATGCACCACCATGAATTTTAAGCCACCAGGTCCAGGACTCAAACTGCAGTTGACTATGTGGGGAGTCCAGTGATGTAACCATTATGCCATCTGCTGGCCCCCAGATCTCCCATTTTTAAAAACTGAATCATGGGGCTGGCAGGGGGTGGGGTGGTTAAGGGGATGGAAAAAGCATTGTAACTTCTTTTTAAATTATTAATTTTATTTGCTATTATTATATATTTTTTAATTTGACCAGTGACAGAGTGAGAAAGGGAAAGTGAGAAAGCAAACCACGGTCGGCCATGTGAGAGTCTGACATCTCAACCACCACACCACTTGCTGGCCCTATGTTGTAATAAAAATAATCTATTAGGGAACCAGCAGTTAGCGTAATGGCTATGTCGCTGGACTCCCACGTAGTCGACCGCGGTTCGTGTCCCGGACCCGGTGGCTTAAAACTCACGCCGGGCGCGTGTGCATGCATGCCCAAGATCCCGAGAGGAGAATGGAGGAGAAGGGATTGCGGCGTGACCATCCCCCCTGGGGGGTGATTTCTCGCTTTCTGTCTCTATGTCTCTCTCTGTCTGTCTGGCGAGTGCATGCGCCCTACAGTGAAAATCTCTCCAAAAAAAAAAACCAAAACAAAACAAAACAAAAAAAAGCAATGTCCTAATTGGTCTTGTCAGTCCACTATGTTCTTTGTTCTGCAACCAGCAGCCTAAAACATAATATGTTATTCTCTAAATGGTCCCCTTCATATCCAGGCTAAAATCCAAGATAGTTAGTATATATAAGGCCATTTTATGAAAGAGTGCCAGTCTTTCTTTCCAGACTATTACTACCACCATCCCATCCCCACTTTCATGTTCCAGCTATACTGAATTTATGGGTTGTCCAAACTGATTGAATCTCTCTTCTGCAGCTAATTAATTTTTATTTTTGTCATTTATCTTAAAGATTTCCTCCTCTAGGATTCCTGAAATGGAGAGTAACCAATCCTCGTTATTCTCCTGATACCTTGTTCATACTTGTGTATGACACTTACCACACTGTGTTATGGGATAAGCTCCTTGTCAGAATTCTCTTTATAGTTCCAGGATCTAGCATAGCTGTGGGTGTTTAATAAATATTAGTTGCTGTGAAAAGATCCTAGGATGCATTTCAAGGCTAAAGTTTACTTTGTAGCACTTGCTGAAGTATGGCAGGGAAAGAAATGAGAGGTAAAACAATACTGCATTGAGGAGGAAATCTGGGTTCACTGACCATGCTTTCAAAATTCTGGAGATGTTATGCATGTTTGTAGGCTGAGATAATGGAGGCAGGAGACAGAGCAAGTGAGTGCGAGGAATTGAGCATGTAGGAGAGGGGATAAACATAAAGTCACTTGGAAAAAAGGAAAAAAAAATTCGCGAAGTATTTTTTTAGCCTTTAGAAGTCTACAATGTAGGGACTGGCAGGTGGCGTGGTGGTTAGAGGTGCTGGATTTCCACATGGCCGACCGCGGTAAGAGTCTCAGACCTGGCGGCTTGCTTTCTCGCTTTCCCTTTCTCTTTCTGTCTCTCTCTGGTCAAATTAAAAATAACAATAAATGGAATTAAATAAATAAATATAAAAAAAAAGAAGCATACAATATAGTCATTCTGATCAAGGCTGAGTTCAACTTATCTTAATATTCCTAATGAGGCATTCATGGTCTATATTTACATATTAAACAGAACCTTCTTTCCCTGGGTCAAGGTGATGGGACAGGGAGAAAGCACTTCTCACAGAATTCTGCCAGAATTCCTTCTCCCTACTTTTGGGATTTTGGGGATAGTGTACACACATCGTTTTTTTTTTTTTTTTTTGGAGAGGTTTTTGCTATAGGGCGCATGCACTTGCCAGACAGACAGACAGAGACAGAGAGACAGAGAGCAAGTAATCATCCCCCAGGGGGGGATGGCCACACTGCAATCCCTTCTCCTCCGTTCTCTTGGGATCTTGGGCATGCATGCACATGCGCCCGACGTGAGTTTAAGTCACCGGGTCCAGGACTTGAACCGTGGTCGACTACATGGGAGTCCAGCGATATAGCCATTACGCTAACTGCTGGTTCCTGTACACACACCTTCATCTTTCTCAAGTCACTAGGTCCAGGACTCAAACTATATGGTTGGTCACGTGGAATCCAGGCACCAGGTACCTTAAGCACAGGGCTCAGTTTGTCCAGTTTCAACTCTCTTGTGGTTGGCAATCGGCTGAACTGGGAAGTCAAAAACACAGTTAGAGGACAGATTGTCGCTAAATGCTGTAGCTCTAAGAATCTCTTTGAAAACATAAAGCCGTTTCATAAATTATGTATTCTTTAAACTATCTTTCATATTCATTTACACAAATGATCATTGAAACTGCTTTAGAAATATGTGCATCAAATATTTAGCATATTTTAAAAGCTTCCTTACTAATATCACTAATAAGTGGCTACAATTAAGTGTTTATTTACTACAAACACTTAAGACTATCAGATAACCTCATTATAGTTTATCAACATTATCTTTAAATCATTCCAGTGGAAATACTTTCTCACTACATTCATACTGCTTTGGTTCATGAGTATGGGAAGTAGCAGATTGTGTTCCATGATCATAGATTTTAAATATTTACTTGCTTGTCTTGCATAATTTAGCACACTGGAGTTAGAAAGCGGTTCGTATGGTAGCTGATGCAATGCCAATATTACAAGAATGTAATTTCCCTCTGTGAAAGGTATTCTACTCCTTCGCCTAGCCAATTATGATTTGTTTTGTTGTTAGCTGATCTAAAACCAGTTAAATTACATTTATATACAATTTAATTTTAATGATCATATGGTTATTTTGAGAATCCAGTTTCTTTTTTTAATAATTATTTCATTTTTAAAAATTTATTAATTCATTTATTTTAAGTTGACCAGAGAGAGACACACAGAGAGACAGAGAGAGTGAGAAAGCAAGCCGCCAGATCTGGGACTCGACCCATGGTTGGCCATGTGGGAGTGTCCAGAACCTTACTACCACGCCACCTCCTGCTGGTCCACCCAAGCAGTTTCTAGTGGCTTTTTTTTTTTTTTTTGGGGGGGGGGGAGAGAGATTTTTGCTAGAGGGTGTGTGCACTCTTCAGAGAGACATAAAGTGAGAACTCATCCCCTGGGGAGATGGCCACTGGGCAATCCCTTCTCCATTCTCCCCTCAGGATTTTGGGCACGCACCCACATGTGCTTGGTGTGTTTTAAGTCGGACAGTCTGGGATCAGAACCACAGTCGACTATGTGGGAATATAGTGACGTAACCATTATGCCACCTGCTGGTCCCTCTAGTTAGTGTACAATAGCAATAATAAAATACATTCATTCTTGTAATCCAGGTCTTTACGTAAATTACATAAAGGTATGTAGACGCACGTTCTCCCTTCTAAAAAAATCAGAACAGAGTTCTGTATTCAAAATATGGAGCCCTAGTCTATCTAATCAGGCAAGAAAATAGTTATTTGGTCAGTCTAATAAATGTTCCATATGTAATCTTGTTGAACTGTTGTTTAATTGTCCCACCATAAAAATATAATTGTCTCTTACCCGTTTTTGTGATAATAATGATTAAACTCATTAAAAAATTGTAAAACATCTTTCAAGTTTGTCTTTGAATATTTCAACGTTACATTCTGGAAGGTTTTCCACTCTCATGATTTCATAGTCTGGTAGTATAGAAAAATTACTAACTTTCAGTAATTCCCTGTGCAAATCAAGAGTGTATCTGGCAGCCTTTACTCCAACACAATCTGTGCTACTGCAAAACGACAAAGAATTGTATCTTGTAATAATTTACTGTTTCTGTTGAACTTTCCTAGCATCAAGGATACACATTTGTGTCTCATAAAAAGCCTCTTCGCCCTGTTTCAACGTTTTAAAATAACGTGAATGTGGAACACGGGTGCACATATCCTTCGAGGTTTATATGGATCTAGCCTACGGTCCCAGGGATAGCATGGCTTAACGTATCTCCCCAACCGGATAGGAGGGAATACAGGTGTTCTCAGCCGTGCTGGTCTTGCCTGGTTGGCGGTCTACACTGGCCGGCGAAGCGAGGGCAGAGCGGCGCGGTGCATGCTGGGTCTTGCAGTCCCTGCGCCCGGGGTGAGGCACGACTGCATGGCACGCTGGGCCTTGAAGTCCAGTGTCTCGCAGGAACGCACGGCCGCCGTGATGCGCCGTGTCCACCCGAGCCGCTTACAGAGGGCTGTGCGTGCTCGTTGGCTCCCTGGTCGCGCTGGCAGTTAGGGGCTCAGGTGGCGAGCAGGTGGATAAGGGACGCCAGCGCAGTAAGGCCCGTGCGCGGCGGCCGCAGAGACAGCCCACCGAAAGGCGGCGGTGCCCCGGAAGTGGCTGAGCTCACGGGTTCGGTGCGGAGGCCGCTCCTCTGACTACGGTGGCCGGGGAGCGCGGGGTACCTGTGGCTTCGGCGCTGGAGGGCCGGTGTGGGCGGGCTGCTCCTGCTGCGGCCACTGCGGCGGCATTTCCCGCGTGGGAGGCTCCTGCACGTTATTGCCGCGCTCTCCAATCCTTCTGTTCCGGCGAGGATCGACTTGAGGCTGGTGGAGTCGAGAAGGTTGGCACTTAGCGTCTCTGGCCCCCGAGTGACCGAGTTCTTAGGGGCCTGCCTGCGGTGGAGACCCGGTGGCCAGCCATCTGGGTTCTCGGCGGAGTGCGGCGCCTTCCTCTTCTCTCCTTTCTGGTGTCATTTGTTTTCTGACTTCTCCTCGCCCTGCCCTGGGCGCGGAGGTAACACACCATAAACCTTTCTGTGGGCAGCTCTTCTCGCTTCCCTTGTGGTTTTCGCAAGTGGTCCAGCTGGGCACGACGTTCAGTCCTCTGAACTGTCACATTCATTTGACCCACTTCTCCATGGCAGGACCCTCTAGGTTTTGTTTCTGTCCATTGAAACAAAAAAACAAACCCGCAAATAATCCAGATGCCCCAGATTGCGAACTTCTTCCTAGTTCCTTGACTCCCCTTTTTGGTCTTTGCTACTGCTTCAAACCATAACGCGGTGGCTTAGATTAATTAACGGCTTTCCATCCCATTAGCATTCATGAACTTTTTTTGGTTCTTGCTCACCCTCAACTCTCCCAGCCCTACCCGCTTTTCAGGGGTTTTGAGGCTGTGGCTTCAGGATACATGCTTGTCTACGAAGACTGTGGATATGGGAGACCTCAGTGGTCCACTTAGCAGGACGCTTCTCTACGGAGTGTACAGTTCTTCCGATTTTTCTGGCTTACATTTTTGTTTTGTGTTGATTATTTTCCCACCTGGGATTCACCGCTATGGTATAGTTAGAGGAGAATACCTCGTCCTACAGTTTACAGCTGAATTACTTAGATAGAAATTTTACTTTGTTTTCCAACTGGACCGTGTGACTTCCCCCTGTGAAATTTTTGCGGTGATTTTGCGCCAGTTGATAGTGGATAACCACAAGGGAGTGGACCAACTTCCTTTCTTACTTTCTTGTGATTTATTATTAGGATATGAGTCATTGAAAGAGCCCAGAGGTACTGGAAAGGTTTTAGAAAATAAAGTGTGTGTACTTTTTGAGTTTCAAATTGATTTTCTTCCTTGAACAGTGAGAGTTTCTGATTAACTCAATAATCTGATGCTATAATGAATTATCATGCAATTTGCTATAGAATTTTAAGAACTTTCTAAAGTTAAAAAGGAATTGTGTAAAAAAAAAGGAATTGTGTAATTTAGCAAAATGCTTAAAAACCATTTAGTTGATGTTTTTCTATAAACTAGAGAGCACGAATATTGTAAACTGTCTTTGGGATAATTAGTTACAGAATAGTTTTGGATATTTTTCTTTATAGTTGCCAGAGGCTGTGTGCTATGGCTAAAGGCAGAGAGACAGAGACAGAGAGGGAGAGGGAGAAAGCATTCCCCAATGGAACTTGGTCACGCTATAGTCCCTTCACGGTTTTTCCATCCTGTCCTGATTTGGGCACAAACGCACATGTGCCTTCCCGCCTTTTTTTGCAATGGGGTGGGTGTGCGCTCCAGGGAGAGAAAGAGAGACAGAGAGAAAGAGAGGCAAAGTGAGAAATCATCCCCCAGGAGGCATGGCCACATTGCAGTCCCTTTTCATTAATTCTTCTTGAGAGATTTTGGGCATGCTTACACATGTGTGTGATTGAGGTGATTTTCAATCTTCCAGATCTGGGACTTGAACTATGTAGCCGACCAAGTGGGATCTAACATCTTAACCTCCACACCACCGACTGGCCCAGACCCCATGTGTTTTTCAAGCTTCTCTGACCAAGATCCAGTTGTGCATGTGGGATCTGCCTCCCTTAATCATTAGCCTACAAGGTTGGTCCAGTATTTCTAGGTATTTCCATATGTCTGGTAAACAGCATTGTATACTATGCACTAATATTTTGTAGGCAGAAATTTTATACTTTGTGACTTTCTGGGGATCATGTAACACAAGTGAGTTTGCACTGTAGAGATTCTAATACTAAGATTATCATTCTTTAAGTAATCAAATATAATCTATACTTGTTAGTAAAAAAGAAATATTGATATTTGTGGGTTGTATCAAATTGGGATTATTCCCAGTTAACCTGAAGTGAATACTTTCAACCATTCTTAAAATTCAGAGATAAATGTATACTATTTAAGAATTAAATCACTCTTGGGACCAGCAGTTAGCATAATGGCTATGTCGCTGGACTTCCACGTAGTCGACCATGGTTCGCGTCCCGGACCCGGTGGCTTAAAACTCACGCCAGGTGCAGGTGTGTGTGCGCCCAAGATCCAGAGAAGGGATTGCGGCGTGGCCATCCCCCCTGGGGGGTGATTTCTTGCTTTCTGTCTCTCTGTCTTTCTGGTGAACACACGTGCCCTATAGCAAAAAAACCTCTCCAAAAAAAAAAAAAAGAAAAAAGAATTAAATCACTCTTGTAATTCCATATTGGAAAAATGATAAGCTAGACATTACTCAAACTTTTAATATTTTTCCTGAGACTTTGTTCATTTAGTAGGCATTTATCAACTCTTCTTTACTTTTTAATTATTGTCACCAAATCATTAAAACGCTTATTGATAAAAGTGTCCTCCCGGCCCAGCCCTGGTGGGTTAGGCAGTAGGCTGCTGCTGTGCAATGCTGCAGCCACATGGGAGGCCCATGCTTGGCCGGGTTGACCTGAACACACTGGGATGCTTGCGTTTGCCTGTGATCCTAGCTGACTGGGAGGCTGAGGGGAGGACTGCAGTGTGTGAGACCCTGTCAAGGGTACTTGTCTCTCATGAAATAAATACATTTAAAAAAAAAAAAGAAGAGTATCCTTTTGACTTTACTTCTGTACTAGGCCCTTGTAAGGATTACCTCCTTTTTTTTTTTTTTAAGAATTATTTATTTAATTTTATTTATTCATTCATTTATTTTTAAAATTTTACCAGAGAGAGACACACAGAGAAAGGAGGAAAGTGAGAAAGCAAGCCACCAGATCTGGGACTCGAACTGTGATTGGCCAAGTGGGAGTGTCCAGCACCTTAATCACCATGACACCTGCTGGTCCCGCAAAGTGTTTTTTTTTTTTTTTTTTTTTTGTGGTAGAGTATGTTTGTGTGAGAGGAGTGAGAGAGAGGAAAAGTGAGACAGACAAACAGACAAATAGAAAAGGACCCTTGACAGGGTTTCCTATCACTGTATGATCACCTTTCCCTAGCCCTCCAGCTTGTTAGGTCATGGTCACCTAGATGCACACTGCCATGTTTTCAGGCTAGGCCTATCTTAGTTAATTACAGCAGTTCACTGACATATTGAATATCATTTACATTTAGTATTGAAGACACTGAAGCTCAAAGACTAAGTCATTTAGTCCATTTTTTAAAAAAGAATTATTTATTTTTACTTATTATTACTGTTATCCTTTTTCAATTTGCTCCAGGATATGTGCACTCACTAGAGAGAGAAAGATAGAAAGCATGCTGCCAGGTCTGGGACTCGAACCACAGTTGGTCATGTGGAAGTCCATTGCCTTAACCAGCATACCATTTGCTGGCTCCTGTCTATTTGCTTTAGAATTTTTTTCACTTTCCCACTTGTTCTCTATCCTGAAATATATAAAGAGCATTAATTCAACCAATACTTGCTGAACAGCTATTATGTTCCAGATGTTCTTCCAGATGCTGAGGATGCAACAGTGAACAAGAGAAACAACAGAATTTCCTATTTCTAGGGAGGTTATAGTCCTGCAGAATGTATGAGGTGAAAGCCATGACTTCAAGAAGCAGAAATGAAGCCAATATGCATTAGATTTTGTGTGAGTGTTCTAGAATATTAAAGCCGAAAAGAAAAATTAACTGGAAAAGTTTCATGAATGGGATGACATTTAATCTGTAAATTAAATGGTTAAAGATTTGGTAGTTAGAAATGGGAGGAAAATAATTCTGGATTGAGACATAAAATGAACAAAATTCCTAAGGCTGAATTATAGAGAAGAGAGATTAGTTGAAGGGGAGACAGGTAACTGGACTATTTGTATCTTCAGTTTTTTTGCATATGGTAGGTACATGTTATTGATTGAATTTGTAAAATGTTTAAATTAATAAAGTTATGCAAGAGCTCAGATGTGAGGTAATAAGGAATTATGTCTAGCATGATTACATTAGGAATGGAGTAAAGGAATGGATTTGGGAGTTGTTGGTGAAAGGACGAGGAGGATCTGCTCATTGTTAAATGTTAGCAGTAGAGTGATGGTCAAGGGAAAAGGGAGACTAGATTACTGAGTCTGAACTGAGCAGAACAGGTGAATTATAAATTCATCTATTATATCAAGTCATGAGATTCAAAAAAATAAATTATTGGGACAGCAGATGGCATGGTGGTTAAGGCACTGGACTCCCACATGGCTGACCATGGTTCAAGTCCTGGTCTCTGCGACTGAAAATCATGCCAGGCGTGTGTGCATGCATGCTCAATGTCCTGAGAGGAGAATGGAGGAGAAGGAATTGCAGTGGCTACCTCTGCTGGGGGTGGGGGATGATTTCTCACTTTCCATCTCTCTGTCTCTGTTGAGTGCACTTGCCTTATGGCAAAAACCTAAAAAAGTAAAATAAAATAAAAAAAAAAAATCTAAGATGCACCATTATTTTATGAATCAGTAAGAGAAAAATATTTTTAGTTAAGCAGGTTAAGATTGTCAACTATAAGATGCATAATTCTGAAATTAAAAATGTAAAAATCTGTGATTTAGAATTGATGACATGAAACACTATAGTGATTGGTGAGTCTTATCACTACTTTATTTTTGTTTTCTTGAACATTCATAAATTTGTAATCATTGACACAGTCAATTATTTAGCATTTATTTGTTAAGTAGGCACTGTTCTATGCCATAATGATATAGAACTGAGTAAAATATGGTTGTTCTCATAGACTTTACTGTGTAACAGGGGAGGCAGCCTGTTATACAATCGATATGCAAAGAAAATTAAAGTTACAACTGTGGTAAGTGCTATTAAAAAAGGCCTTGATGTTATATAGAAAAGAATTGATTACGGAAGGGGATAAGAATGTGTATGGAGAGAGACCAGTTAGGAGATTATAGG